TCATCAGGGGTAGGTGCCACCTGTAAAACATCTTATACAAATTTTCTTTATATGCAGTTGACATTGTCATTTTATAATTTTGAGACCACAATTCTTGCCATTTTTCCAAATCAATCCCATATCCAAAAAATTTTCCCCAAGCAATCATTGTTTCTTTAACTTGCTCCTCCTCCAATTTAAATTCTAATAGATGTCCCTAAAGTTTTTTAATTACCTTTTCATCAGTACCCATCAAAATTTTATCTAAGTTAGTCAACTTATCATAAATACCTTCTGCCTTGGAGTCTTTATCAAACCTAGATTGTATTTGCAAATAAGAAAACCAATTCATTTTTATACCTTGTTCTTGCAACGTTTGCATAGATTTAAGTTCACCCTTTTGATTCAATAACTCCCATATCTGTTTGTTCCTTTTTATATATTATTGGATAAGAAAAAGCTTCAATAGTTGATATCCGTGTTGGAATTTTTAAGTAATATTGTCTTTTAATCTTCTCCCAGCTCAAAACAATGCCTCACGAATATAATGTCTTCTAAAATACCCCTGTGTTTTAGTTCCCTTATACCAGAGAAAGGCATGCCATCCCAGCAGCAAGTCATGGCCTTCTAAAGTCAATAATCTACTGTTCCTTAGAAGACCTACAGGTTTTTATGGGACTAACTCCTTCAACTCTGGCTAACTTGTCTGTACTGCTAAGAGATGATGTTCCAGATTGCCTCAGTTTAGGAGCAGGGTGTCAGCAGGCCCCAGAAACTACACCTCCCTGTTGCTGTACCAATTCTGTAATAAGCTTTCCCCTTAGATCTTTAGCCACTTTACCAAAAACTGTGTATATGTGTGCTTTGCTTCTGAACCTATTGGTAGTAGGCTACTCAAAATTTCATTGTTCTTGTAAGAGTTACCCTTATTTGTGGCATTATTGAAAACTACTCAAGGAGAGAAGCAACCTAGAACTAAGAAGAAATTTCCTGACAGAGAGAACAATTAACCAGCGGAATGGCTTCCTTCAGAAACTGTGAGTACTCCATCACTGGAGGTTTTTAAGACTTAGACAGACATTTATCTGAAGTGGTATAGAGACTCCAGCTTGAGCAGAGGATTAGATTAAAAGACCTCCAAGGTTCCTTTCAACTCTTTTATTTTGTTATTATGTTTTTATTAATTGATAGAAATAGTTAACATACCTAAATCTGTTGTGCTCTGGAGAATCTGAAAGTTTCTTCAATGACTTTTGTTATTTGAAATGATTTAATATAACAAAGATGTTAGCCAATAAGCCATTTTGAGACTATTCTTACAGATCACTGGGACCTGGTTTGCTTTTAATCTGTCAGCAAGTTTAAGAATTTGCCCTGCAGTGAATAATATTAAGTTCTGTAGTAAGAGAATACCTGTCTGATCTTGATGAAAACAAATCACCAGGCCTGATGGATTACATCCCAGAGTTTTAAGGGAGCTGGCAGAGGTCATCTCAGAACCACTGCACCATATGTTTCAAAAATCCTGGAGCACCGGGGAACTACCAGAGGACTGGAAAAGAGCTGATGTGGTTCCCATCTTCAAAAAAGGAAAAAAAAACAGACCCAGGAAACTATGGACCAAACAGCCTAACATCAATACCCGGGAAGATACTGGAAAAGATAATTAAAAAACAGATCTGCCAACATCTAGAAACAAGTAAAGTAATAACTAGCAGTCAGCAGGGGTTTGTTAAGAACAGATCATGCCAAACCAATCTTATTTCATTCTTCAACACAGTGACTAAATTAGTAGACCAGCAAAATACTGTGGACATAATATATTTAGATTTCAATAAGGCATTCGACAAAGTAGACCACAACCTACTTCTTAGTAAGCTAGAAAAAAGTGGAATAGATAGCCCAACCACTAGATAGACTTGCAACCAGCTGGCAAACTGTACTCAACGAGTAGTCCTTAATGGGTCTAAGTCTACATGGAGGGAAGTAAGCAGTGGGGTGCCACAAGATTCCATCTTAGGCCCAGTACTCTTCAATATCTTCATTAACTACTTAGATGAGGGAATAGAAGGGGAATTTACCAAATTTGCAGATGATACTAAACTGGCAGGAATAGCTAACATCCAAGAATAGCTAACATCCAGATGGATCTTGACAGACTAGAACACTGGGCCATATCTAACAAAATGAAATTCAATGTTGAGAAAAGTACAGTCCTACACTTAGGCAAGAAAAACCAAAAGTACACTTATAGACTGGGTGAAACTAGGCTCAATAGCAGTAACCATGAGAGGGATCTTGGAGTCTTAGTGGACAACCAACTAAATATGAGCCAGCAGTGTGCATCAAAAAAGCTAATGCAATCCTAAATTGTATTAACAGAGGGATACAATCCAGATCAAGGGAAGTACACTCTATAGAGGGTGATAAACACAGCTCAAAACATCATTGGTTGCCCTCTGCCCTCCCTGGAAGACTTAGCCAGGTCCCGCTGCCAAAGCAGAATCAAGGCTGTCATAGAAGACCCCTCACACCCTAGCAATTATCTTTTTGACCTGCTGCCATCTGGATGGCGTTTTAGGTCAATAAAATCCCACACCACTAGACTAACAAACAGTTTCTTTCCCTGGGCCATCCGAATCGCAAATAAACACAAAATCACTACCCTATTAAAATGTGAAAAGATGTGAAATCTCAATACCCCATTCAGATGTATAATAACATATTACACTACAATCCATCCCTTGTGTATTATACTCGGCTAAGCATTACAGTCAGTGTTGGATGTGTATTTTGTGTATATTCATAGATATTGTACTCTCAAATTGCAAATGGAGACGTGGGTACTCTATTTTTCTTATCTTCATTTTTAAGTGCTTTGGTTTTATTGTATTGCGAACAGTTGCTGGGGTGCATCCATAGTTTCGTTGTACTTGTACAATGACAATAAACAACTTCTTCTTCTTCTTCTTCTTCTTCTTCTTCTTCTTCTTCTTCTTCT